CAAAGGGTCGAGAGAGAGAGAGATACGTTAGTGTTCAAAGATGGGCATGCAGGGTCCACAAGAAATAAACTACAAATATAAAAAAGTAGGTTTAGGTTAGGTTGGTGTGATGCTGCTGAGCTTGTTCAACCTGCCGGTGTGATAATCTTGGGTCATGTTTGGATGGCAAGAATGAAAAGGTGGAATGAAAAATCTCATTCGCAGGCTCTTTCATTTTGTTATTGAGGTGCGTCCAAAAATAATAATGTGATTTTTAGTTAGATTCTCAAGATATAAATCTTATTAAAGTCGATCTACTTGCAAAAATGGTGCCTAAATCAAAATACACCGCTAAGACCAACCATTTTTTTTTTTAATCGATGCTTAATGGGCTTGGCCTAGACGGGATTGTGAGTGGATGACTCTCACGGGCTAGTAAGCGGGATGGGCTTCAAACCTTAGGCCTAGTCTCAAGCCGAATCCAAATCTCATTTGGGAGAAATTCTATTTTCACACACCTAATTAACTCAGGGGACACAGTTAATGAATTTTTAATTTAATGACAATTATATTCTAAATTAAAATAACCAAAACAGACATCCAATAATACCCATAATATTATATACAAAAATTCTCTATACACATCTTTTAAATAAAACCTTCTTTCTGTCCACGACATAGCCGTTGACGGGTTGACGCGAAAGTAGAATTGTATACCTCTCTCCCTTTAACACAACCTTCTTCCTCTCTCTCTCTCTCTCTCTCTCTCTCTCTCTCTCTTTGTGTGGAAATTGGAAATTGGAAATTGGGTTTTCATTACACAGACATCGACCTTTTCAAACCTAGAAAAAAATAAATGGCATTCCAGTTTCTTTTCAACAGAAGAGACATCGATTACAATCAAAAGTGAGTCTCCATCTTTGAAACCGTCACTCACAAGATCGAAATTGACGGTTTTATGTCAATGGAGTGCACATAGATCCGAAAATGATAAATGCATTAACAAAATGATAAATGTGTGTGAGTGATTTTCCGATCACACTGCCAACTTAGTTATGCAACTGGAGAGTACTGGCAGAATAGATGACACTTGGCTGACCTGCAACAGAAAGTGAGGATTCCGGCGGTGGTTCGTCCACCCGGGGGCACTCCGACGATCAAGTCAGTATATCTCTCAAAGATAATCAATAGTGCTAAACTCACTGTTCAGAATATAAATTGTGTACCTTAGACCCATTGGGGGTGCCTTTTTTTTTATAGTTAACTCAATCCTAGTCCCCATAGAAGCCTAGCTTCAATGGACTCTTACTCAGTGCTTATCCTGGACTCTTCAATAGATAGAGATAAACTCCCTAAGAGTTTTATCCTTATCCAGGTTGAGTTCCCTCCTCATTCTCTTGTCCCTTATCCGCTTATCTCGGATTCCGATATCTTCGAAGATAACCTCGGCCTCACCGAGATCATCTCGGCGTCATAACCTGGACACGTGGCACCTCGGCTGACACATCGGCGTCACCTTGGTTACGTGTTGGGACTACGAAAATATATCCCCACAAAATGTAATAAGAAAATGAAAAGATTTTTTTTACCTTTAACACTATTTTGGAGGATTTACAATGGCCTTCAATGGAGGTTCTATACAAGTCTTCAATGGAGGTTTTCACTTCATACCAAAGTCTTCAGGGGCGTAGGTGCGTCAATGTGGAAGTACGGTCAATCAAAAGTGTGTGGAAACAGGGTTAGTAGTGTGTGTATAATGGTTATGAGTGAAGGGTGTAATTATAACTTTAAATGTGTGGATTGAGAAAATTAATTGATAATTAAATTATTAGGTATGCGTATTGAGAAAAGATGTGCCATTAGTTAATTAGGTGTGCGAAAATAGAATTTTTCCTCATTTGGGCTAGCTTACCTTGGGTATAAGCTTGGATTGGGTAAAACCCTGATGGGCCTAAGTCGAGCCACAGGTCAAATGACAACCCTTTCTCACATTTCCGATGAAAATTTCACATCATTCAAAAAAAGGCTTATTTTAAGAATAAAGTAGTAGACAATGTTATTTTAATAGTCTATTTTAGTTTTTGGTTATTTTAGTACGTTTTTGGGTGAGAACCCCCTCCTATTGGGCTTTTTTGTGTGTAAATGACGTGAAATAAATTAATGCTGTCAAAACCTCTCAAAATTAAAAAATAAGACGAAAAGACAGGAATACCCTTGCATATATATGGGTAATAATAAGCAGTTGAGCTATTTGTCTCTCTTGTTCTTTTTCTTCGTTTGAAAACTATCAAAGTCCAAAAATTCTTGATTCGAAAACCCTCATTCAAAAACTGTCAATTGAAGCAAAAATTGCAGCATAATGAGAGATTTTCAATTGCCATTGTTGAATGTTTTAAAATTATTGAACTATTTCATCATTTTCTACCCGTCGTTACTTCTAAACCAACAATCACAAGTCAGAGAAACGCTATTTCTTTTACAGCTCTCTCTTTCTCTCTCTCCACCAACTCTACCATCGATGGTTGTTCATCGCCTCCACCATCTCTATCATCGGTTGGTATCGCTCATCTTGATCGTTGGCCGGCGACCATCTTACTCCTAAACAAAAACAGAGTACATAATACCAGAGTAAAATTTTACTCTCTTTCTATAAAACAAAAATAGAGCACATATTACCAGAATAAAATTTTACTCTCATTCTATCAAACAAAATCAGATCATGCACAATAAAAAAAAAACAAATCAACATACCTGATCAAACTCGAACAATAATTAAACACTTGATCGAAGCAAAACCTCTAATATTTTATCAACACTCTCAATCTTGATGAAACTCTCAAAATTTGATACAAATTTGTACAGATTTGAAATATAAGCTCTAGTTGATACAGATTTTGAGATTGTCAAAGAACACGTAATTGAAGCAAATTTGGTGAGATCATCGGCGACAAATCGTCTATTGTTGACAAACGGCAAGATCGCCGGTGGCGAAATCTTCAAATTTCGAGATAGTCTTCATTGATTTCGGATCATCTTCACTGATTAGATTTTCAAATATATGAAATCAGTGTATATATCGATCAGATTTTCAAGTATATGATATATATATATACATATATATAAAAGGGCAATATTGTCCAAAAAAGAAAAAATTATGGTGTGTCCTTGCTGACAGGGGCGGAGGCAGTATAGGCTGAGGGGGGTCATGTGCCCCCTCTCAGTTTTGCATTTTTTTTGTTAATAAAATGTATTTTTTTTCTTTTTTTTTCTTAACACGTTATTTGGCTAATGATTTATTATATTGTTCACAACAAATAGTTATTTGATACTTTGGGAACACTATGTGGTATTAGTTATGTAGTAGTTTAAATCAATAGTATAGCAAAAAATATTATAGATTAGATATAATGAACTCACTATTTTCAAGTAGTTGACATACTACTTAGTGTGATTTGTGATTTTCTACGCTTTGAGCATCACGTAGGTAACGTCATATGGTACTCTAAGACTGTTTAATAATTTTCATTGAAAACACTTTATTTATAAGTAATGTCATCTCTTTAATATTTTCTTTCAAATAAAAATTAAATAGATTCTATAATAATTTGTGCTGTAAATGATGTGTTATTATTTTTTAAAATTAGGAATTTTGATCCATAATTTTTTATGCTAAAATTGCAAACTTACATCATCATCTCATACCGAGTTATTTCACACTATTATAAAATTTTAATTTGTTCTTATTAATAATTAATATATAATTTTTTATGTTTAAATTTATTTCATAAAATGATTATTATCTTAATATTGCTCATGTTTTTTTTTAAATAAAAAATTATAATTAATAAGTGTCCCCTCTAGCCTAATTTTTTTGGCTCCGCCACTGCTGGCTGAGCTACATGTCTCTTTCTTAGGGGCTTTTTGAAGTTAAATTAGTTAACCTGTCCTTTACCCTAAAAAAAAGCCCAAAAAGGGGGTTCACCAAAAATCCCTATTTTAGTAGGCTAAAATAGTTGTGTTTAGGAAGATGGTTAGATTTTTTTACAATTTGATATGATATTTGTGAGAAAAAAGTGAAATGATTATGAATTTAACGTGACATTTTATCTTATTGACTACTTTAACTTGTTTTGTTATTTAGCCCAAAAAGACAAATTTTTCTTCCTAAACACCCCCTATATTATAATACACTACAAGAATTAACACATTTGCCGACCAAAAAATTAGTCGCTAAAAGTTCATTTTTGGTCGGCAAAACATATTCCCGACCAATTTTTTTGGTCGCCAATTTGGTCGGCAATTGAGGGTCGCGGAAAGTAATTAGCGACTAAAAAGATTTTTAGTCGGCAAAACGTTCTATTTGGCGACTAAATTGTTGGTCGCTAAACATATAATTATCGCGACTAACCTATTTAGTTGCGAAAAGACTTTGGTCGGCAAAAATTACATTCAACGACCATACATGTTAGTCGCTAATTTGGTCGGGAAAAATTACTTTCAACGACCAACAAAATTGGTCGGCAAAAATTACTTTCAACAACCAACAAAATTGGTCGGCAAAAATTACATTCCACGACCAAAACTTCTTCGTCACTAAATAATAGTTTCTACGACCAAAAAATTTGATCGCTATTTGTTACTTTTCGCGACCAAAACTTTTGATCGGCAAAAGTGAGATTCCACGACCAAGTGTTATTTTGGTCGGCAATAGATGTATTTTTTGCGACCAAAACTCTTAGTCGGCAATTGTCATTTTTTGCGAAAAAAAATTATTTATTTGTCGCGACTAATAAATTGGTCGCCAAAAGCAAGAAAACAATACACCTGTAATTCCTAATAATTCATTCAATCCATAATAAACTTATAATTTTAAAACATCATACAAATCAACTGAATCATTAACATTCGGCACAATACATAATTCATTAACATTCGACACAATCCAACATTCAATCCAGTTTTTTTTTTTGAACAATCAATTTTTGTTTATAAACATTCAATCCAATATTGAACAAAATTCATTCAACCCAACCTAAATATAACATTAAAATTCATCATATTTTCCTGCTCAATCCCAAACTTTACAATCATTCCATTCAAAACATTAATTGAGACAAGTTTTAAACATCCATCCATTGAAAACCTGTAAGTAATTGAACAAAAATTAAAAGAAAAATCAATGAAGGAATCCAAAAAAAATTCTAAAACAGGAAGGAATATATATGGTTTTGATGCCTTGTGCTTGATCGTTTTTGGAAGTCACCTAAAAATAAAATAAGAAAAGTTAGAATCTAGAAAAACATCCAAAATGAAGTATTCTCATAAAAAAAAAATAACCATATGGCAAAAACTTTATATGATTACATTACAAACATTTGATGATGACTATACCACAATTAAGTATTGGCATACCTAAACAATGAGAGAAAGCAGCTCAGCAAGTCTCGCCAAGGTAATCCTTCAGTAATACTTTGAGACAACAAGGATGTTCTGCAAGAAACAATAATGTCTTATAGATGAACCATTGCAGCATATAATTGAAATATATAATTGAACATGAGTGAAAGATTACATGTTCTATTACTCTCTGTTTCAAATCTTCAGCTGCTCTGTTACCTAAAGAACCACCAAGCATGTTCTTTTCATTCTCAAATTCATCCTTTTTTTTTAATTTTCCTTTTCAAATATTTTTAATCCATTTCAAATACACTTGAGATTCTCAGTCTAACCACCACTATTTATATATACACACACCATGGATGCAACAAATACCTATAGATGCAAAGGTAAAGAGGAGCAATATGATTACCATAAATGGAAATGTTAAGGGAAGGGAATGACCTATTATGACATGGGATGTGGTAGTAAAAAAAGGATAAAAATTTAATTAATTTAATTGAAGATATAGCCTTTGACAGAGCAGGACGGTGACAAAAGATTCATGTAGCTGACTCTACTTGATTGGAACACCAGGCTTAGTTTAGTTTTACACACCAAATTGATCCATTTAGAAAACTTATTCTGATATCTTCAGTTGTCAGATATATCATTTTAAACCTGTCCATGATTTATACATTTGAATGGAGTAGTGCGGTCCAATTGATATGAACAATAAGTGCATTCAAATGCTAATGCAAAGTGTAACCATTCCACTGGGACACTGATCTGTTAATAGAGTTCAAATTAAAACAAAATTCAAAATCTGTTTCTGATAGATAAACAACGGAGACAATCTAACCTGATTATTTGAAGCCTGTTCATGTATCTGATGTGGCTGCATATTCAAATCCATCATATTTGTCTTCGTGTTGGCATGCCCATCGGCATTGGCATTCGTAGCTGACTCTGGAACCCTGTGATTCTGCTGGATCTCTCCCATCGTCAATCCGAGTTGCTGGTTCTCTCCCCTCCTGTTCTCAGTTGGATCCTCCATACGGCCAGGCTTATCCCCGGGAAACTAAAGATAAAACCGAGGGAAGAAAAAATTGTAAGAGTCTTAGCATAACATTTAGAAGAATAAATATGATCCAGTTCTATCCCACAGAAACAAACCTCAATTCTCTGCCTCAATACAAGATATCTTTCATGGGTTCTTTTACATCCTACATGAACAATCATATCGCACTGCAAACAAAGGGAGCTTCCATCCACCTCACAGTAAAAGAAAGCTGCACATGCACAATTCAAAGAGACAAACATAAGTTTAAACCTTTTTGACCCTCTTACAAAAACAGAAAGCATATTTGACATTATGAAAATCTGCATACCAGGTGCATTTTCACATATGTCAGAGTCACCTCTAAACATAAACTTTGGTTCTATTTAAACAGATAACTAGACACCAACATTTGGGCAACAAACAAAAGAAAGCATCAATCAATTTCAATTTTCAACAACTGATGTACCATACCCATGATAAGTAATTGGAAGTTAAGGAGATGCAATGAATAAACCAGTTGACTCAGTCAATTCCATATTCAGAAGGTATTTTCTTATTTACAGTCAGTTTCAGGATCTTAAAAGCCCAACTCAAGTTCAACCAATGGTAGACAAATTAGAATTACATTGTTAGGGGACAAGTATTGACCTAAAGGGAAGGAGCCAATTAACACAGGATCATATATAGTCATCCCATCAAGTAAACTATACACCAAAGTCAAATTAGGCAAAAAATATTTTGTAACAAAGTGTATGCAAGAAAATAGATAAATCCATTTGAAATAAATAGACCATAAAACTCAGAGAAAAATGGGGGCATTAAAGTTTCATGAAAACAATACCAATTCCTTGCCAAGCTCAACATCATCTTGGTAGCTGCTCTGCTTGCCTTGGCTACTCCCACAAAAGACACAAATACTCTTGAACACAAAAAGATATGTACACACATAGCTAATACACGCAAACTTAACTTAACAAGATATCATAACATTAAAAACAAAACTTAACTTACATCACATGTGCCGACCAAAATCTTATGGTTAGGGTCTCTTTTTATATAAATTATTGCTTTATTACCAATCATGATGCCCCACATAACCATCTAATCATTATTTATGCACAACAAATGAAAGTGAATTTACATAAAAGAAAAAAAGATTCATTGTAATTTCCATCAGCTAGGAATATGGCTATTCATGACATGAGTGATACTGAGTAGGAAAACAGAATTTACATGTGGCTTCCTAATCAGCTCCATGTCATCAAGGTGGCCCCCAAGTGTATCACCTGGCATGAGCAGTGCACCAACATTTTTTTCTAAATAATTAGGCTTGTTCAGTTTGTGAGCTCTTTCCTTCTAACATCTCAATAACTAAATTCTCAGGAAAAAAAATTAACTACACAAATACACAAATTCTCATAATTTGCTTTAAAACCAAACACAACATTCAAAAGATAGCTATGACTGAAAAGTACCTAACTTGAAGTAATTCACTATTACAGCTTCTGGGCGAAATTCTTCGGATATTACTGACGAGTGTATCTCACAGAACTGTAATGAAACAATGTTCAAAATAAATTGATGACCGGTGTTCATGCTAATTAAACAAAGATGTACAACATGACATATGTACTAGAATTGTAATTCAAGCCAATTGATGAAAAAACTTACATGAGACACAGGTCAAAACAGATAGTTGGTGCAAATATCTTATGAAAGTTCAATAGACATCAAACGATATAGAAATTCACAGTGGTGACCTCCTAGCTTGAAACAATACCAATCATGGTCCAAATGGGTTGCTAGTATTGAAAGAAATAAAGGCCATAGTACTCAATTTGAGATAAAAATTGAAAAAGAACAATATGAAATTAGCAATCACCTTGGACCAGTCAAATTGCAGTCCAAGAGTACTCCACCATAACTTCCGCAGCAAACCAGATGCTGGTATCGATTTCAACATATTTCCTCTTGATGATACACCAGGTTCCTCACAAAATTTCCATCTAGGACCATCAACATGACTGACAAAATAATTAAACTCAGAACCCTCCTCAGCATATCCTTCAATGCATTGACACTGAGACAAGGCTCAAGGAAAACATTTCGAAAATTTCCATCTAATTTTATTTCCTTAAAAAAAATCCCTAATTTCTAAAATTCTTGCTTCAATCAAAAAGGGTATTGCTAAAACATTATCAAATAAAAAACTAGTCAAGAAGTAGAAAAATTGCTACATAGTGAACCATTGCTAGATGCTTGGACCAACTCATGATTGGAAATTTGTAAGCATAGAAGAATTTCATGGAGTTCTTAACATTGTGTAATTACTTTGATATCAGCTATTATAGAAAAAGGTTCAAGAAAACCAAGAAACATCAAAAGAAAATTAATGGATTATGAAATTACAGTAGCTCTAAACCAATATTTATGCATTTTTTCAACAACGCAACAGATATGCTAGCATTATGTTGAATGGGTACTATACATGTATGCCACTGAACTGCGCAGACAGAGCCACAAAATCGACTGACTAAAGTGCATAAGCTACAAAGAAAGAACTAATCTTGCAAATGACTGAAGTCTAGCCCACATATTAAAAATGAAAACTCATGAACTAAAAAAAGCCAGCTTATTAGCTTATTAGATTATTTAGGTCACAACATCTCTACTTTTTATCATGCCTTTTTGTAATAAGCAAAAAAATCAACTTATAAGCTATACCAAAAACAACCTTAGTTGTCAACAAACTAAAACCTCCATTATCTCAAATTTCTAATATTTGAATAACCTAGTATCACTTGCACAAGTGTGCCCAATAAGCATTACTATTTACAACACTAGTGCAACCAAATAAAGAAAAATCCATCCAAGTATGCTCTAAAGTGGCACATGTTATCTATCATTCCAATGGTTCTAACATTTGCATTGCAATGCAATGCTATAGCATAAGCCTGCTCATTTGTTTACATTTGCACACAAGTTGAAGATTGGCAGATTTATGGGCAACAAAGCAAAGACTGTCAATAACAAATATTTTCTTCACAAAAAAATATGACAAAATAAAACTTAAGCTCTTTAGGAAAAAGAAGAAGGGGGGACAAATAAATGCATAGAGAACAAATAACTATATGAAGATGAGCCGGCAACATTTTTTTTTTAAACATAAATTTTATTTAAAAAAGTAACTGTAGACTTTTGGTTACTACATCAGAAATTCAGAACTATACATATATACAGTATTCTAAAATTAACCAGAAGAAGAAGAAGAAGAAGAAAAAGAAGAAGAAGAACTAACATAACCATAGTAAATATTTGTTTCTAGATGTCGAACAAAATATTTTTCTTGGTAGAATACCATCAACGTTTTAGACTTAATAGCCACTAAGAAAGTGAGACCTTACTGACTTGCAGAGCCAATCACCTCATTCTTCCAATTTTGTCCAAGATGTCCAAAGCGAAGGCCTGCTAAATCATTTCCCCATTTTGCTTAGTAGTGCCAGTGAGTTGTGTGATTATGTATTTCGTGTATTTCTCCTAAATTTCCTAAAAATAAAATTACAGGATAACTGTCACCATTTAGAAATTCTATTAAAGCAATGAATTGGTCTTCCGGCAAAAATGCAATCATGAACAACCCTTGTCCTCCTCAATCACCATCATAACAAAGAGCTTGAGTTTACATGTAAAGCCCATACGAAACACACTGGATTTTTTGTTCCTTTGATCGCAGAAAAGACTGTCTCTCTGGAGTAATTGTAAGGAATTTCATCAATTGTGGTTCAACAAAATATATACTCCAAGAGGCATTGATTCATATAGCATGGAGATTAGAAAGAAATGTATCCAACAAACTACACATCTTTCTTTTGCTGTAGGACGTAATATTTAGTTGAATTAAGCTAAGATAACTTTGCATCATTAAAAAGCACAAGCCTCCAAAACCAGTCAAGAAAGTAGGGAATCTACATCACATTGTCTGTGGCTCTCAAGAAAAAGTACCTTTCTGAAATGTTAGTGGGAACACAAAGTTGGAGAAGCATTTTAAAGGAATTTAAAACATTGGATACATAGCATCTGGAAAAAAAGAAAAAAAGAAAAAAAAAGGGGGGTTTAAATTACATTCAACTTAACAGACTTCTGCTATTCAATTTTTCAAGGAAGGGATCCCTGCTAACAAGATGATACAATCCTTGCGTAGGTGAGGTCCCAGGGAAGTGTATGGTGAGATCAGAAATAAGTAGAAGCAGCAACAGTTGAAACATTAATGCCTAACCACAGTAGCATTGTGGAAGAGGAACTATTGACTGAAGGCTCCCCGAAAGGGTTTCCTTTACGTAGCATTGTGGAAGATTCAAGGCACATCATTCAGAGGTGTAGATGTTCAATCTTCCATATCATGAGAGAGGGCAACCAAAGTGCAGATATCCTTTCGACAACCACAATTGTAACATACAAGGATTGTTTCTCCCAGGGGACTATCTTTATGAAGACAAACTTCCTTGTGTTTAGCTCGAACCTACGAAAAACAATAGCATAAATGGTCCATGTTTATGTATCTTGATAATTGGTTACCTATCTTTGTTTAGTAAATGGTCCATGGAAACCCTAGGTACCTCTTGATAGAATATTCATAAAATACTCTAAATTAAATTGCTTGCCTTGAAGAAATCTTGGAGCAGATCTAGAATGCCTGGGCATTAGGTGTTCAAACCACAAAAACATCTCTACATGCTAGGGTAAGACTACGAATATCTAACTCTTATCAGACTCCATAGTGGTGAGAGTCTAGTGCACCTAGAATAAATATATAGTTTTCAATTTGAAGATTCTTCTCCATGTTTTTATGTCTACTTTCCTTGTTATTTTATTTTCTTTAAGACAATAGTCTAATTAATTTATTTGCCATATCTTTATTTATGACTGTAAACTTCCTATTCATATATTTCATTGATCCAAATATCATTTATCATCTTGCCAGATTATTTTATAACATTATATCGTTATTATTTCGACAGAAGAAAGAGATGTTCAATTTCGATAGCTGGCTTTTCTCTATTTATTCAATTTTTCAGATGATTGATTTTGTCACTTTGAAATCAATTAAGTTTTAAACGCTGCTATAATGAAGATTGGATTGCTAGAAGTTGAACTCTTTTCTCACTCCAACATTTTCTTATACTAATATCACACTTACATATTATACTAATCACTAATGTTGATCAATTTAAAAAGTAAATCATTCTAGCAGTCATCTTGAATTGGTTCATCCCCCCTGGTTAATCTTTTTAAATATAAACTATACTATAAAGCATAATGTTCCTTATAATATGCAAAGTGCTTGTTCAAATATCGATTCATCGTATGGCTTCTGTATTTCCACTTGTTAAAAAAATTTTAAAACCTCTAAGGTGCCTTCACCTTTGGAAGTTGACTTCACTTCAAAATTCACACTTGCTCATTGAATATTGGATATTCTTGTCAATTTTTTGAATGATTTTGGCACGTGCTTCAATTGTGTTAAATTTATCTATTTCCTTCAAAAAGCTAGAGGTAATTGTCTCCTTGTCAACCCATATATGTTTTAGATACTTGTTAAAGTTACGTATTAGTGGTGTCATATGTTCACTAAATAGATGATAAATTTGAAACCTAAACAATTTCTGGTTGCAGAACAACCCAGATTTGTGAAACCTCTTGCATTATATGCACCGGTGCCTGGTTTGCATATTATCTCACAGTGCACCAAGGAATTAAGATATTGGCTATCAAATTCATGTCCTTGAAAATTGACATTGCATGCCAATGTAACTTCTGCTTGATTAGCAGAAAAATAATAAATAAATGACAGAAAATAATTTGCAAACATAAAATTTATAGCATTAATCACATCCAAAATGATATGTAAATGACATTTTTGAAATTATGGGGCCAATGATGGATGTTTTGATTGAAAATGAAGAGAGTAGAAGAAATCACATCATTCTCTACAAAAGTTCTGTTCCTATATCATATTTCATAAAAGACATGCTGTGGGTGCATCTTGAATTCAATCCAGATGATGTTTACTATCCATTTGTGGCACGCTCGACCTGATTAATATGAAAGGTCTGACCCGGAATTTGTGTTTTTGGGTCTATTTTGACCCAGTTTGCTACATTCAAATTCTAGTATATATTGGGTTAATTTGGATTTTTAGGATGAATGAGAGATAGACAAAGAGAGAAAGAGACAGAAAGAGAGACAGAGAGAGATGAGAGAAATAGAGAGATGAACGAGAGAGACAAAGAGAGAGAGAGAGACAAAGAGAGAAAGAGATAGAGAGTGAGAGTCAGAAAAAGAGACAGAGAGAGAAGAGAGATGAACGAGAGAGACAGAGAGAGAGATAGAGAGAAAATAGATGAACGAGAGAGACAAAGAGAGAGAGAGAGACAAAGAGAGAAAGAGATAGAGAGTGAGAGTCAGAAAAAGAGACAGAGAGAGAAGAGAGAGGACGAGAGAGATAGAGAGAAAGAGAGAAAAAGAGACAAAGACAGAGACAAAGACAGACAGATAGAGAAGAGTGATGAGTGAGAGAGAGAAAAAGAAGAGAGACAAAGAGAGAGAGAGAGAGAGAGAGAAAGAGAAAGAGATAGAGAGTGAGAGTCAGAAAAAGAGACAGAGAGAGAAGAGAGATGAACGAGATAGACAGAGAGAGAGAAAGAGATAAGAGAGATGAGCGAGAGAGACATAGAGAGAAGAGAGATGAACGAGAGAGACAGAGAGAGAGAGATAGAAATAAGAGAGAGATGAACAATAGAGACATAGAGATGAGAGAGAGCGAGAGAAGAGAGATGAGCAAGAGAGATAGAGACAACAGAGATGAACGAAAGAGACAGAGAGAGATAGAGAAATGAGAGAAGAGATAAATGAGTGAGAGACATAGAGAGAGATACAGACAGATAGACAGATAAACAAACAGACAGAGAGAGAAAAGTGATGAGTAAGAGAGAGAAAGAGAATAGAGAGAGGAAGATA